TCTTCAATTTCTGTGCTATAGACATGCTATATGGGGCATTTATCTTCAATTTCTGTGCTATATACACACTCTGTGGGTTTGGATCATCCCTTAAGCCATGTTTTCTGTGTTATGCTGTGCTGTGTTACGTAGGCATAGGTAGCGCCTTGCCCCATAGTTTATGTGTTATAGCCCTCTATTACTTATTACATGGGAATAAATAATGCATTGCTCTCTAGTTCATGCACTGCAGTGCTATATTACTCATTATATAAGCATAGATTATCACTCAATCCACAGTTCATGCATTGCAGTGCTATATTACTCGTTATATAGCCATAGATTATCACTCAATCCACAGTTCATGCACTGCAGTGCTGTATTACTCATTATATAGCCATAGATTATCACTCAATCCTTAGTTTATTTATTACAGTGCTATATTTCTCATTATATAGCCATAGATTATCATTTAATCCACAGTTCATGCATTGCAGTGCTATATTACTCGTTATATAGGCATAGATTATCACTCAATCCACAGTTCATGCACTGCAGTGCTATATTACTCATTATATAGCCATAGATTATCACTCAATCCATAATTTATTTATTACAGTGCTGTATCACTCATTATATAGGGATAAAGCACATTGCTCCACGTCTTACAGCGCTGTATTCTATACGATACAGGGACAGGTTGTACTTTATTCCATAGTTCATGCATTATAGTGCTGTGTTGCCTGTTTATGCCGATCACGCAGGCATAAAGTATCTTAATCTCTATTCTATCTTAGTTTCTGTCCTGCAGTGCCTTATTACAGGTTGTGTAGGCATAAATGGTGCCTTATCCTATAGTTTTGTGCTGCAGCAACGTGCTGTGCAGCCATATGGCACCTTACTGCGATCCCATGCATTGCAGTGCGCTGCATCTGATAGCAGAGGATCCACGCTGTGCAGTTTACACCTCACTTATGGTGTTTCCTGCAGCTCTGGGTCTCCCTTATGGGTGGGAGAGCTGAGGAAGGAGGGAGGGTGGTTTGTGTGCAGCTCATCCGCTTGGAACGGATCTCAGGAAGAGCTGCTGGGATCCCTGGAGAGAACAGAAAGGCAGAAGGAGGGCGGAAGGTGGGACTGGAAGCGACGCTGAGTGCGACAGGAGGCAATGAAAGCATTCAGGACCTGTTGGCTGAGCAAAAACCCTCGGCTCCCTCTGACCTTCGGCTCTCGGAGGGCTGTTGGGAGAGGGAGCAGAGCCGACGGTGGGTCTGGAGGTGAGGGATCGGAGGAGGAACCCCCAGCAGCAGCTCCCAGCCCTCACTCCTGCCGGCAGAGACCCAAAGGTGTCTGCAGACCCCTTTTGCTTTGCTCGGAGCCGGGGCTGGACCTGTGCTGCGTGCCAAAGGCAGGGCCTGCAGAGGTGCCTTCGTTTCTGATGCCTCCCACCGACGCCTCCGATTAATTGCTTTGTTTGTTTCATCAGATACTCTATCTAAAGGCATTTGTGCCTGAAGCCACGGAAGATAGATGGACAAGCCAAGCAACTTCTGACCCTGCATCATTTTCTGGGGCAAAATTGTATGGCAATGTATCCTACAAGGTAACGTAGCCCCTGCAGTGAGTGCAGAGGATTCCTTTTGCTTGGCCACCAGCTGTCACACAGGGAAGGGCCCTCATGCCACGCATCCCAGCCTCGGCTCAGCGCAGCTCAGAGGCAGAATCGGAGGGATTGGGCAACGAGCACAAATCCACCTTGCGTCCCCAATCCCGCTGTGTGTGCAGGCAGGTCACTGTGTTAACGGGGCAGGAAAGCAGCAGGCGACAGAGCTCAGATGCTTGCCAGCACCTCGGCACAGATGGGGGCATCCAGGTGGCACAGAGCTGAGAACAGCAGCTGTCAGACAGCTGAAAAAGCACCCAGTGACCCCGAGGGCTGCGTCAAAGGGCTGCTGGTGCCTCCCTCGCTTTCCCCGGGTATCATTGGAACGGCAGAGCTCCCGCTGAACTCAATCTTTGCACCAAACTTTGCACTGTTGTCTTTAATGCTAAGCTTCAGCTGCTCCGTTTGCCCAGGGTGAAAAACAAACACCCTGAAAACAGTGAGGGAGCAACAGCGCAGCTTCGGGGTGTGCTCAGTCGGTCAGGGTGCGAGTTCATGGTCAGGACTTGGTTCCCATTGCTTCTAAAGGCAGACAGGCTGAGTGAAGCCCTGCAACAACGCCTCCGAGCCGATAGAAACGCGTTGTTATCCATTTCTTGGCCTTCAGGATGATGTTGGAGTGACGTGGCAAAAGCAGAGGGGGGTCTGCGTGGTTGTGGGGTTGCGTGGTTGTGCTGTGTGGCTCCTGTGATGCGCTGCAGGAGCTCAACGCTGGCCTAACGGAAGGAATTGAGCATCGCAGTTGGGGGGAGCTGGCGTGGTGGGGGGCAGCTGCAGCGCTGCAATGGACTGAACTGAATGAACACCTCTTGTGCTCTTCCAGCTGAACCAAACCTTTGGGTTTTGGCCGGAGCTGAAGCTCTGTGCCCACAGCTTTGCTCCTTTGAGCCTCCTTTGCCCCCTAGCAAAGTTCCTAATGGAGCACTGTTGAGCAGATGAGGTGAGAACAAGGCTGGAACCAGAGCTCCCTATGGGGCTGATTGCTGGGTGAGACAGCAAACAAGGCCTCACAACACCCTTTGTTGCCCCAGGGTGCAGAATCCTGGCACGGTTTGGTCGCTGTGCTCCCTCACACAGGCTGCAAAGCACAGAGCCAACCTCACCAAACCCACCCTGCTTCCTTGTAAGCAGCTCCGCAGCCCTTCAAGCGAAGCCGGGAGTTGACCTTTCCCCTTTCTCTCTTGCAGGGTGTCTGGTGAGGAATGCAATGGGATCAATAGCATGTCTGCAGAGAGCGGCCCCGGGACGAGACTGAGAAATCTGCCAGTGATGGGCGACGGCCTCGAAGCCACCCAGATGTCGACAGCGCAGGCGCAGGCGCAACCGCAGCAAGGCAGCACCGTCGGCGTCAACCCCCCTCCTCCAGAGACCTCCAACCCCAACAAACCCAAGCGGCAGACCAACCAGCTGCAGTACCTGCTCAAAGTGGTGCTCAAAACGCTATGGAAGCACCAGTTTGCGTGGCCTTTCCAGCAGCCCGTGGATGCTGTCAAGCTGAACCTCCCCGTGAGTAGATGAGGGTGGGGAGGTTTCCCCCGTGGGAGGAAGGAGAAGGGCGGGCGTTCACCTTTGTGCCAAAGGGAGCCTTGAGGAAGGAGGTGCTGAGGCTTTGCTGAGTTCAGCTGATGGTTTGGCTTGAAGGGTGATGGGAACCCAGAGCCATTGGGGTTGGAGTCTGGAGCTTCCCCATTCCAAGCTCCCCAAAGCGACTCCCTGGGGTATTGATTGATGCTCGGTTGAACATGAGCCCACAGTGTGCCCAGGTGGCCAAAAAGGCCAATGGCAGCCTGGCCTGCATCAGAAACAGTGCTGCCAGCAGGAGCAGAGAGGTGATTGTGCCCTGTATTCAGCACTTGTGAGGCCGCAGCTCGAGTGCTGTGTCCAGTTTTGGGCCCCTCACTGCAAGAAAGATATTGAGGCCCTGGAACGTGTTCAAAGGAGGGCAATGAAATGGGGAGGGGTCTGGAGCACAGGGCTGATGAGGAGAGGCTGAAGGAGCTGGGAATGTTCAGCATGGAGAAGAGGAGCTCAGGGCAGAGCTCACTGCTCCCTATGGCTGCCTGAAGGGAGGCTGCAGTGAGCTGGGGGGCGGCCTCTGCTCTCGTGTCATCAGGGATAGGAGCAGAGGGAACGGCTTCAAGCTACGGCAGGGGAGATTCAGGCTGGACATGAGGAAGAATTGCTGTTCAGAAAGGGTGGTCAGGCACTGCAATGGATGCACAGGGAGGTGGGGGAGGCACCGAGCCTGGGGGTGTTGAAGGAAAGGCTGGATGTTGTGTTGAGGGACGTGGTTCAGTGGGAGCTGTTGGGAACAGGTGAGCGGTTGGACTGGATGAGCTTTGAGGTCTGTTCCAACCTTGGGGATTCTATGATTCTGTGTCCCTATGGCACCCTCATGTGTCCCTATGGAGTCCCCATGTGTTCCTATGGCGTCCCCATGTGTCCCTATGGAGTCCCCATGTGTTCCTATGGGTCCCCATGTGTCCCTATGGCATCCCCATGTGTCCCTATGGTGTCCCCATGTTGTTGTGTTGAGGGACGTGGTTCAGTGGGAGCTGTTGGTAAGAGGTGAGCGGTTGGACTGGAGGAGCTTTGAGGTCTGTTCCAACCTTGGGGATTCTATGGTTCTATGATTCCCTGCAGTGCACGGGGGGTTGGAGCTCTGCAGAGAAGGAGACGCAACCACTTCTCTGTTCCAGGGCTCTGTCCATTGAAATCCCATTAAAAATGCCCCTGAACAAACCGTGGCACACGTCAGCTTTCCTCTTAGGAAAAGCAGCAAAGCACTGATGTCCTCAGACACCCAGGAATGGGGACAGGAGCTCCAGCCGGGCTGTGGCCCAGCTGATGCTTTGGGTTCCAGTTCACATTTTGGGATCTTTTAGAACGCTCTCAAAGCATTGAGGGCTTTGGGGGCTCTGTTTCTTTGGCTTTTCCACACCGATGGGGCTGTGGTTCTTCCTGTGGGGGTGGAGGTGGAATATAGTGAGCCCTTCCCAGCCAGTTCCCCGCCTGCCCTGAGCTGGGGAGCTCAGCACTGAGCCCAGTGCTCCAGGTGGGGCCTCCCCAGCGCAGAGCAGAGAGGAGATGAGCTGTTCTCCATCATACAACACCTGAGCTGTCGGATTTCTTGGCAGCAGAACCCCACAGACAGCTTTGCTTCTATAGCAACGGCGTTTCCAGTCCTCCCTAAAAATAGCAGCACCTTCCTTCGTATTACCTGGATGCCTTTAAGGGGCTGAAAGCGAATCTTATTTCCTCCCTTCTCCGCGTGCGGCTGCGCGACCTCAGGGTCAGTTGTTCCAAGGTGGGTTTTCAGCCCCACGATGATCCCACGCAGCCAATGCTGGTTCTGTGGCTGTGGCCCTGAGAGGGGGAATCACACAGAAGCCCTGAGGAAAGCACAGCATCACCCCTCACCTTTCCCCACTCGCCTTTCCCTGCTGCGTTCTGTGGGGGTTTGCCCAATAAATGACTCAGACAGTGGCCTGGGGAGGGGGGTTGGATCCTCTTGGAGCTGAGTTTGGGGACAATAAGGATCCCATCCTTATCTCTGTGCCTCTCTGCCCTCTGCAGGATTATTATAAGATAATTAAAACGCCGATGGACATGGGAACAATAAAGAAACGCTTGGAGAATAACTACTACTGGAATGCTCAAGAATGTATCCAGGATTTTAACACGATGTTTACAAACTGTTACATCTACAACAAGGTACGATGAGCTCCTCTGCGTTTTCAGAGGGGATCTGCTGGTCTCTGCAGGCTCCGTAGGTCCGTTGTGTTGTTTGTAGCTCTGTGAAAAGCCAAATTGCGGCTGCCTGCTTTGGAGCTCATAACTTTGACGTGGGGGAAAGAACAGCGCTGCAGAGAGCAGTGCCTGGAGCGGTGTCCTGCCCGGCTCTGCTTCCATTGCACTGCAGAAGATTCCCCTCCAGACAGCAGAAAGATCCTGGAAAGCACTGTGTGAACAGTTACGGAACCACTGGGGGTGCAGGGAGGGGATGTGGAATGTGAGGGAGCGCCGCGTTCACCGCCGATGGGCTGGGGAAAGGAGCTGAGCATCAGCGCGGCCTTTGGGTGCTGTGCGAAGATGGGAAAGCAGCACATTGGCAGAGGCTGTGCCAGGAAGATGCTGCTCGGAGCTGGAGGTGCTGCAGAGCCTCGTCTGGGAGCAACGGCCCCCAATGGGGAGTTTGCTGCTGTCCTCAGAGCAGCAGCAGCGCGGCGTTCCTGCAGCCCTGCCCCGGTTCAGCCCCGTCTCAGCTCCTGCCCTCCCCGTTCCTCCCAGCTCTTCTCCCTGGTGCTTTACCCTCCATTCGACCGCGTTCTCCTCCTCTTCCTCCTCTCAGAAACGTTGCACAAGACCCAGTTGGTTCCAGATGTGTTGTTCCAGCTCCATGGCCGCTCGCTGGAGGGTTGGCAGGCAGCTCCGTGGTTCCTTTCCTCCACTCCTCACTCCCCAAAGTCTCTTCTTCTTCCTCAGAGCTCCTCCTTCGTACCCACGCTGACCACTGGGGGTGACTTCCCAAGGTTTGCGCTCCCTCTTTAACCCACAACAACTTCAGGCCCCGGCAGGCACTGCTTGTTACTGCAGATATTTGAGTCTTATTTGGGTTTTACGTTCTTGTCCTGTTCTGGTCCTTCCAAGTAATGCCTGTGGCCTTTGCCTTCTCTGCTTTGAGCCAACACAGTGCAGCTGGAATGAAGCTCTGAAGGCTTCAGACCGTCCGTGTCTGCATTATTTGCTGCCACATTCCCCCATCTCCCCATTTTCCCACTGCAGTGCCTTCCCATTCCTTTCTCCCTCACCCTTCCCAGTTCTCCATTCTCAAGAAATGGCTTTTGGACCACGCAGAGCCTGCAGACTGTCACCATTTCTCATCTTCCATCAGGCCTGGCTCTCGTTGGGCTCTTGGATGCCCTCCTTCGCTGTGAAACAAGCCTTCAGAGCAGCTGCCAGGCCTTGTTGGTGCCTTTTGCTTTGGATTCCTGGCCGGTTCTTCCTGTTCTCATCATTTCCCATCGTGTTTGAGAGCAAACATCCAGCCCAGTGCCATGCACTCATGGCAATTAATTCAGAGCTCGTCAATGAAGTGTTGATGCCCAGCTTTGCAGTTTGCAGCTGCGTCGCTGCAGAGCACTTCCAAAGGACGCGTCCTCTCACCACCATCCTTCACACCTCCCTTGGCCTTTGCAAATGGAGCTTCCTGCTCCCAGCCTGCAAGGACTTGTGAAGGTGTCGACCTCCCCCATCCCCACCAGCCGTCCTCTTCCTTCACTTCTCCTTCCCAGGTGCATGGGATGCTTTTCCTTCAGAGCTGATGCTGTCGTCTTCCATCTTCCTCCCACATGGGTGCTTTGCTGAGGGATGCAAAGTCAGGGGGAAATGACAGCCTGTAGGGACCCTGAGTCTTCTTTTTGTAGAATGACAGCACGGCTTTGGGTTATAAGGAGCCTTGGAGATCACAGAACCGTGGAAAGGTGGAATCTGTTGGTTTGGAAAGGGCCTACAGACCACAGAATGATGCAGTGGGCTGCATTGGGAGAGTGCAGAAAGGTGGCAGAAGCACAGGATGATGGATGGCCTCAGGCACCTCCAGGGATGGAGCACAGGAATGGGCAGCAGTGCCAGCGCCGCAGCAAAGAGTTTCCACCTCATCTCCCACTCTTCCCCTCTTTCTCCTCCTCCCTCCATCCAGAAAGCAGCAGCACTGCCTGCACTGATCAGCACAGCTCAGTTTATCCTGCCATCAGCCCTTATGCGCCCCTCTTCTCTTTCTCCTTCTCCCTCCATCCAGAAGACAGCAGCACTGCCTGCACTGATCAGCACAGCTCAGTTTGTCCTGCCATCAGCCCTTATGCGCCCTGCACAGCTCCCTGCCCCTCGTCCCTCCATGCCTTTACAGCACTGCAGGATGAGGACTCTTCTTGTTCCTTGCTGTGTGCTCAGGACGGCTGTGTGGCAATGGAAACAGGGCCAAGAAAGATCGCGGTGTTCGAAAGCTACAGGACTTGCAGAGCTGGGAGATGATAAGGATTACAGTTTGCAGTCTGAATTCCACATCCCACCCGTGCCTCACAAAAAACCACCCCGAATTGTTCCTGTTTCGTTTTTAATTGGTCTTTATGATTAAGTTTGGTGTGAAACGGAGAAAAAAGCGCGGGCAAAATCTTCGTGGCGATCTTGGTTTGTTTAGATGTAGCAGTCCTTGTAGAGATGTGCCTTGCCTGATTTGCTCTCTCTCATTCCTCCAGCCAGGAGATGACATAGTCTTAATGGCAGAAGCTCTAGAAAAGCTCTTCCTGCAGAAAATCTCCGAAATGACGCAGGAAGAAACTGAAATCGTTATAGCCCAGACAAAAGGGAGAGGACGCGCACGGAAGGAAGCAGGTATGGCGCTCAGCCACAGCTGGGGGCTGGTATTGGGGCCAGGCGTGTTCCACGTCTCCAGCAGTGAGCAGGGAGCGGGGTTGGAACGTGTTTGGAGGTGGAGCAGAGCTGGGAGGGGTGGCTGCCATCACAGGAGGCTTCTACACCTATGGAGGAACGACGCAGCATCTGTCTGGGTTGGGGCCGAGCTGTGGAAAGGAGCGCTGTGGGGAAGGACCTGGGGGTCCTGGTGGCCAACGGTTGACCAACAGTTGACAATGAGCTCAAGTGGGTCCTGGTAACCAATAGGGGCCAGTAATGGTCAACAGGTTGACCAGTGGTCGACCAA